TGGGTTAACGGTTGGACTTGATGATCTGAAAGGTCTTTTCCAACCTAAACCATTCTATGATTCTATGAAAGCCTTTGAATGAAAAGCCTATAATTTACAGCTGGTTTCTGACAACTCTGTAAATCGTCAGCTTCATTTCCATGGCTTAGCCAGCCTCAGAAATCCATCAGCAGAATTACAGCCTTCTAGGTCACTTCTTTCTTCTATAGACTGTCCTTTGCTGTCATGGGGTTTATAATCTGCTAAGTCTGTCATTACATCCTCTAAGGAGCTCAGCCTTCCCCAAACACTCCAGCCCAAAACCACGCAGGTTGGACACACGCAGAGCTGCTGGGGACAGATTCGAGGCCCTCCCCAGGCATGACAAGAAGTGAGGTGTGTCGGAAGCGGTGGGTATCACCCCAGTTATTCAACACGGGCACTTAGACACCCAGGACCGCGACGAAATCCTCCCAACAACCTGCAGAAGGGTTGCGAAGGGCAGGGCAGGTCCGACACGCGTGGGGACCAGGCTGGAGGAGCTACCTCTACCTTCTCTCCTTGCTTTTCCTCCTTGCTGACATCCACAGAGTGACTGGAGCAGGATGGGCGACACAGAATAAACTACTACACTTTAAGATCCCAAACTTTCCTAAGAGTCGGTGAATGTCAGCTCTCATTTGGGGTTTGGCACTTGCCGGAGGACAGGCTACGGGAGGACAGGCTACGGGAGGAATTTCTAAGCTGTACGCGAGCCCACAGTTCCAGCCCAGCTCCAACATCCTTCATCTTTCCCAGCATCCTCACTCTTCTCCAAGTCAACAACCCCCAAACCACGCGGCAACCCCAAACGCAAGGCTACGCCTGCCCGCGCTGCCCACAACCTACCTGTTTTCAGCACGACCAAGTGAGAGGAGTCATCTCGGATGTAGGAAACGGACGCGATGTCGTGGATGGGGACCCTGAGGATGAGATCTTCTCCATCCCTCCACACCAGCTTGATGTTGTAGGCAGAGAGACTGATGACAGCATCGTGTTCTTGGGTCAGCTGCCCCGGGAGCTGGTGTGCTCTCTAAAATAAATGTATTTCCATTGATTTGCTGAACTGTTTGCCATTTGGTAACGGTCTGGTAATGGGCTTGCCTCCCACGGGATGGAGGACACGAGTCAGACCAGCACCCAAGGAAGCTCCACAAGCCTTTTTTTTTTCCATGCTGCATGTTAGATAGAGACTACACGGAGCGGGTCGTTCAACAGGCTGAGCGCTCACCTTTGCATTATCGATCAAATGCAGGATTTCCGTGCGGCTGGAGGGATTCAGGTACCCTGGGATGGACGTGAGTTGACCTAAATACTGGAAAAGAAGAACCAAACCATTACCACAGCACGTAGATGCTAAGCAGGCCCCCGAACATGCCACCTACTGCAAGAAAGACACCATCAACGCAGAGCAAAGGGCTGGTGCCCCAAGCCCCTGTTCAGAAGCTGCTAAATACACCTACGTATGGAAGATGGCTCATGCCTTTAAGTTATCCTAATGCTGTATCGCTATATATAGTTATATAGGAGCCCCAGCCCCAGCCAGGCAGGCGTTACCTTCACTTCTTTCTCGATGTAGTCATTCAGCAGCACGTCTGGTTCGACGCGGTCAGGCAGGGACACCACCACTGTATGCAGAGGCCGTCTCTCCGTAACCTTCTCCTGGGCTTTTTTATCCCGACCTTTTTCACCTTTCAGGAAGACTCGTTTGAAAGGAGACACTATTCCAGGCTGTCGAGAGAAAGGGAAACAGTGGGGCATTGGGGTTAAGGGCGAAAGAGGGAGTTTCTGCACCGAAACTGGGGGAAAACTGGCAGCACGCGGTGCCCAGCGCTCCTCCAGCCCGTACATCTGTACCCACAGCCTGGTTTTACCAGCTCCAGCCACCCCGCGGACAGGCTGGTTTCAGAGCTACGAATCCACGCGTGCGTGATCTTCCGCTGAAAACCCCTTTCCCACAACACGCTGCAAGTGCGGATAAGCACCTTTTACCAAACCGGGATGATTTTTCCCCCAAAGTTGTGATGTCCAGCCTTTCATTAAGAACAAATACAAATATATATTCAAATTAAGAGCGGTAAGAGTGAACGAGCCATGGCCACACACAAAACCGGCAGGCTTTCTCCTCGCCTCGGTACAATTTTATATTTCACCCGAGCGTTTGCAGTCAGCAGCTGGATGAAGGATTGCAAAAGGAAAAGGCAGAGATGCTGCAAACCAGCCTGAGGTCTCCGGGGAGACCCACAAATGCGAGTACGTGACCTAGGAGATGGCCTCCCCTGGGAAAAACAGGTCTTCGTGGTTCCCAAACCACTGAGTGCTGGGTTTGGAAAAACATGGGAGCCAACCCGAGTCCAGCCGGCGGCAGCGTGCACACACGGGCTCCCAGCTATAGAGGGAGCATCACCACCGTCCTTCTCCGGCAGCCCGGGAACGCTGCACGCCCAGCGGCCGTCACCCGTGGCAGATCCCCACCAAGCTCCACGCCAGCCTGCCCGACGGCTAAATGACCGGGATCGTGCGTGGGCTTCTCCAATTCCGAGTTTATCAGCTGAAACGGCTGTTTTGAAGTGGGCAGATCCAACGTTCGGGATTCATGGCGGTGTTAAATGCCCGTCGGGAGGGGAAAGGCTGAGCGCCTCGGTGGCCTCACTGGCTGTGCGGCCGCACGGCTCCGATGGCCCAGGCGCGCTCGGCTCCGGCCGCCCCATCCCACCGCAGCGATGCTCTCTGCTTCCCACCCCTCAGGGCAACCACACTTTGGCTCTCCTGATCCTCACAGGCAAGAGAAAGGACCATACGATCTGCAGAGGCAGAAAAGATGCTTCAAAAGGCGAATTAATTAAATATAAACCAAGTGTTCCTGCTCAGAAAAGTGTGGAATACTTTGCAGCCTCAAAGAGCAGCAGCCCCCAGCAAATTCAGCTCGTTGCTGCCGTCCACTGCAGGACCTTGCTGTGGAAATCACCATCAGGAACTGCTGCAAACCCTTCACCCAAACCACCTGAGCCTTGCCGTAGGACGTGGTATTTGGTGGGGGAGTGCCACCACCACATCACCTACTCCCAGCAGCGTCCCTCCCCACGCAGCCGCTGATGCGCCGGGGTCAGGTGCAGGCGCGGGACCTGCTGCCATCGGGCAGCTTCAGCCTCTCTCGTTGCTTTTCTCGATGTTGATGAGCGCGAAAGATCTACGGCAGCAGGAGAGACCAAAGCCGGACTGAAAGAATTTGAAACCGTTGTACTAGGATGGGAAAGCGGGATGGAAAAGCTCCCGGTTGAAGAACCTTCACCAAATCCCAGAGTGAGCCAGGCACCACAAGGACATCGGGGACAGCCCGGCCCTGAAAAACATCCCTCGGACCAGGGAGATAAAAATAGAGCGAGTTTATAGGACAAAAGGGATAGAAAACACAGCTACATGATGCTGGCCTTATGAAACAGCTCTGCCTTTCCAGCAGCAGGACCAGCGCTGCCAAACACCACAGATTTTAGGGGCAGCATCCCTCCCTTCAGCTGGGCTGCCGAAACGGAGCATCACCCTGCGCTGGGCAACCCGGCCAGCTCCTGCCCAGGGGCTGGGAGACCATTCCTGGCTCCAGAAAGAAGAAAATCCTGAAAGAAAGAGGTCTCTCTGCCAAGATGGGAGCATGGGCTCTACCCTGACTCTGCCACCCCGACTACCAGGGTGTCCAACCCCAAACCTTGGCTGCGGCTGCGTAAAGATCTCGTGCCACCGGCATCTTTTAGGAATCAAAAGCGGAAAGATGCAGAAATCTGCTGCCGGGGTCAGGGCTGTACCACAACGGTCCCCCGGACGCGTCCCCCTCCACCAGCCGGGCTCCGGCTCGGTTCATCTCTCTGAGCCGAGACTGCTGGATCCGGCCCAATCCGTACGGAGCAAACCAGAAGAAACTGTTGCTTTTCCTTCGAGGATGCAGGCAGCAGGGCTGGGAAGATGCTACAGAGGGATTCCCCACCATCCCGCGTACCCGAGTCCCGTGGGAGAGCCACAGGCTCTTTGTGAGGGGGGATTTGGGGAGCCCAAATCCAAGGCAGAGGCATCACCCGGCGTGACGCAACGCGGAACAACAGCTTCTGCATTTCTGCGAGCCGATCTAAAACCAGCACCTACCTCGTTCTCCATCGAAGCACCCGGCTACGGAGAGCAGAACCAAACCGTGCCGGCGCCGAGCCTTTGGTGGCTCACCGATTGCACCTCCCGGGGGGAGAGGAGTTGCTACTCTCGTCTCGGGGGCTTCCGAAGCTCGTGGCCCGTGCCGAAGGGCTGGCAAACCCGTGAGCTTTCATTCGTCTGCCGGCTCGCGGCCAGGAAGTGCGATAACCGCAGTTTCCTTCTGCTACACGCAACAACAGCGACAAAATGAAGTTGTTGGTTAAGAACTGGTAGGGTTTGGCAATAACGGGGCCGGGCGCAAGGCGAGGCGAGGCGCAGAAGCCCGTTTTGCAAAGCTCGATCCTCTTCCCGGCTCCCAGCCATGCGGTCCCACCTCCTGCACCCCTAAATCCCTGGAAACTCCCCAACAGCCTTTGCCGCTGCAGCCTGGACTCACACCTGGCTGCACCCGGGATGGAAACATCCCCAGCCCGCAGGAGTCTTTAACCCTGGTTTCTCCTCCGAGTTTCAGAGCTACTTTGCTCTCCAAGGTCCAACAACCTCTGTTGAGACCAAGGGCTGTAAAGCTTTTTCAGGGCCCATAGTTTGAGTCCTTTAAGTTTCTTGCTCGCGTTAGAAAAGCAAAGCTTGGAAATGAGGTTGAGAGCTCCCTGCCTGAGCCAAGGCCTCCCAGGAGGCACTTTGGGAAAGCGCAAAGTGTTCAAGCGAGCCTTGCTGGGCTCAGACAGGAGCCCGAGAGTCAGGCTCAGAGGATTAATGAAAACAAGTTGCTCATTTCACAGATGGAGAATCAAATTAAAAAGGTGAAGGCGGTGATTTCCCCGATGAAATCTGCCTGTTGAGCAGAGGCAGGAAGGTCGGTTGGAGAAGAAGCACCCGAAGACCTGCCGAGCAGATTCCCACCTTGGGGTGCAAGCGAACCCCTCCGGCACGCTGCCTAGGTCTGGGGACAGAAGGATTCCATTAAAACCCATAAAATACAAGTTTGTTTTCTTTTTTCCCCCGTCCTTGCCCACGACTGCAATCCCTGAAGGTGACTTCCCAGCCCACCTCCCTGCGGATCTCTCCAGTCCGGAGATACCTCCTGCGGCAGAACAGCTTGGGCATCCGCTGTAAAAGCCGCTGGGATGGGGAACAGGGCTCAGCCAAAACAACACAGCTCGTTTGGAAAGGATGGATCCATCCGGCACAGCGCAGGCAAGAGCTGCCAGGAGCTCATTCCCACGCGGTTTGCTTCCCACAAGCATTTACGTCCTGAAGTCAGGAGAAGAGGCAGGGAAAGGGTTACGTGAGCACCTTGTGCCAGCCAGGACCCGGCATTTCACGGAAAGCCGCAGCTCCTGGCAGAGGATGGCCGACATGGTCACTCCTCAGGGCCTCCTGCTGCTGATGGCTCCGAATTCAGGAGGAAAAGAGTCATTTCATCTACTTAACGGGACATTTAAGGCTTGACTAATTGAGAGAGAGCACGGGTTTAACCCGCCAGGCCAGACTGACCGGGAAGGCACGCCGTGGGGCAGGGGAGGGGGCTCGATGAACGGCAGACGGGCTTTGCTTGGACTCTTTTGGGAGACCCAGCTCACCTGCATTTGAACAAGGAACGCTGGGTGGAATGTGCCCCACCAGCATCCCCCAAAAACCCACCGGGGCCAGGGCGCGTGGCTCTGGTGAGTGCCAGGGACCGGCTGCCACCGGACTCCAGGGACACCCCTGGCCACGGCCAGCCCTTCCTCGGATTTGGTGGCCTCTGTGGAAAAGGCCACCTTGGCCGAGCCGCCTGCTGCTGCCCCAGGGGCTGCAAATTCAACAGAAATAGGACAAACCTTTGGGAAAAAGCCCAGGAGACCAGACTTAGCCTGGGGCTAAGCCCCCCCAGCCTAGGCTGGACACAGCCACGAGCTGCCGGGAGAGAACCGGAGACACGGCGCAGTCAGAGAACCCCTCGCCATCCCGAGCTTGCATCTGTGTTGGGGTGATTCATCCCTCTGATGCCATTTCTCCTGTCTGAGGCCAATAAAACACACGACGGGGGTTTCACCCACCCCACCAGCTACGTTAGGGTTTGCTCGCAACTCTCCCCCTCTCTCGGTCGCTGGAGACCGGCCACCGGCGAGGGGTGAGGCCGAGATGGCAGAGGCAGCTCCCTGCAAGCGCTGGCACTGCTCGCAGCAGAACCTGGTGCTGCCCTGCTCCGCGGATGGCCCCGGGTGCGGGACGGGGCAGGGGAGGTTGTTAAGCCAGTGCTAATCTCAGGGAAGGCAGCCTGAGCCATCCTCAAACCTTCAAGATGCTGTTCGAGCAGGAGGCTCCATGCTCTCCTCCCCTCAAAAGCTCTCGAGGTGACCAGGGATGCGAGGAGCTAAATCAAAGGAGTTTGCAACCTCACGATACCCCAGTAAAGCGCTTGCAGCTCCCTGCACTCCCCCCGCATCTCGCAACACAGAGACTTCAAAAAACCACTTTATTTGGTGCCCCAAATACGCAGCCCCCACCCTCAGGCGGTGAAACCGGGGCTCTCGCGGTGTAAGCACAGCATCCCCAGCCCCATGAGAGGTAGGGTGACCGACGAGGTGCACCTTCCCCTTGCTGCTGGGAAAAAATCAGGGTCCCCCGGATCAGCGGGGTTTGCTCACCCATCCCGTGCCCCCCTGCACCCCTCCGGCCAGCAGCACACCCTGTCCCCAGCTCCCACTTGGCTTCAGAAATCCCAAGAAAGCCATTTCTGGGAATGAGGGAGGATTTATCCTTCATCTAGATTGTCATTACTCCAGCATGGAGTCTTTGGGAAGTTTCTGGGAGGGGGTTTGCTGCTGAAGGCCGTCTGGCAGCCAGAGGGCAGTGGCAGGGAATTAAACCCAACTGACCCAATGCTGGACCACGGAGCAGACCAGGACCTTCTCCCATGCTTCAGACACTACAGAAGATCCTGGAAAACACATCTCTGGGACGTGAGCACACGCAGGAGGACAGGGCTCATCCGAAGGTGCGGAACCGATTCCGAGCCATGCCGCGTCACGCCGGCTGCATTTCACAGGGGACGGGGCTGGTTCTAGTGTAGTGCTCGTTGGCCGCCGGAGTATCCATCCAAAAATCAACGAGGTCTTGGACAGCCCCTTTAAATATGTTCAACGCTTTGAGCTGGACACAAAGGAGAAAGAGCATCCCTCTCGTCAGGAGCAGAAGCAGCTGCTTAATCCACTCGAGGAGATTATCTCGAATGCAAATTTGTAAGGCTAATTCTCCCCCGGCTCGTCTGCACGGAGATTAAGGGAGACCGAGCTCCAAATGGCCACCCAGTGCCGCTGCTGGCCAGCACGCTGCGTGTCCCCAGGGACAGCCTGCGCCCCAAATCCAGTTATCCTGTTCCCAAAGGGACGCAGGGCACGCTTGCTTAGGGCAAAGCCGGAGCGCTTTCCCAGAGAGCTGCCGGCAGCGCCCCAGGACCAGGCTTGGTTTCTGAGCGGATCGGAAAGCCAACCTGGAGCGTGCCGAGGATGCGAAGGCCGGGCTCAGCGGAGGAAGCGTCTGCGCAAAGGCGGCACGTGATACGGCAGCGGGTGAAATAATTAACGAAGCCCAAAGGGGCTCGGGGTCAGCTTACTGCCAGCCGAGGAAACGAAGCAAAGGACCCCAGCGGCGTGCATGGAAGGGCGAGAAGTCACGGGAGGCGCCTGTAATAATAACATGTGAAACCAAGCAAGAAAGTATGTTCCGTGTGTTTAGAGAAGACTTGGCTGCTAAGAAATAAACTCCAACCAGCCTCCAGCGTGGCGATGCCAGGGCAAGAGGGGCTCTGTGGGTTTGGCTTTGCTTGGGCACGGCTTAAGCCCAGGCCAGGCTCCGCAGCAGCGGCCACCACGCTCCGTGAGCCGAGAGCGACGAGAGCACGTGCGAATTACGGCCCGGGAAAGCCAACACGTGATGAGCACGGACTGGGTATCCTCAAAGTAAAGCTGCAAATGCACGGCCCTGCCAAAAGAAGGGGTTTATTATTTATATTTCTTTGCTCCACAGAGAAGCACTGCAACGCGAGCGGGACCGGGGGTGGTGGTTCAGGGCTCAGCCCCTGGGAAACCCAGGCAGAAAGCAGAAAATAGCCTGGTTTTACACCAACCTTCGCATTTGCCGTTCCTTCACGCCGCCTCAAGACGAACACAAGCTCCAAACACGAAGCTGCAAACTGCCACGGGTACATCCTGAGGTTTATTTCCAAATGATTTCCTATTCCTCAGCCTGCTGGCAGAAGGAAGCCTTGTTTTGCTCTGCCTGACCGAGGCGGGTCCCCGTCCAGGTGGTGAATTACTCAGGAGCTCTCTCCAGCCCTTCAGCGCAAGCCGAAGTCGCTCAGACAATAAAAGACCAGCTCAACTCCTGACCTTGCAGTGATGGGATTACAGCAGCGCCTGCTTAAAACCCATTTTAAATCCCAGCAAATGCCCTGCTGCCTCGGGAACGGGCTGCAGACCTTTCGCAGCCCGTAACTGCAGGATTTCCCCACCCCTCCCTCCCTGACAGCCAGGTCTGTACGGCGGCATCAGGGCAGAGAGGCATGGCCAAGAGTATGGGGGAAGCAGAGGGTCAGGACCGCGTCGCATCAGGCTTTGGGCATCTCGAGGATGGAGAACCCATGGTCTCCGGGGCAGCCTGTCCCGTGTCTGACCATCTTCACGCTAAAGAAAGTTTATTGTGCTTGAATACAAGTCCCTGTGTTTCAGTTTGTGCCCGTTGCCTCTTGTCCTGGCGCTGGGAAGAGCCTGGATCCTTCTTGTCTTCACTCCCCCCATGAGGGGTTTATATACATTAATAAAATCCCCCTGAGCCTCCTCCGCTCCAGGCTGAACGGTCCCAGCTCCCTCAGCCTTTCCTCACGCGAGAGATGCTCCAGGACCTTCCCCATTTGCTGAACTCACTCCAGTATATCCTCATCTCTTGTACTGGGAGCCCAGTGCTCCAGGGAATCACCTCCTGCCCCCAGGTAGCCCGGAGGCTGGTGGCCATCCCTGGCACAA